GGAGTGCGCCTGATACCTGTCCCATCAACCATGCCACCAAACTCTCCTGTGTTGAAGGACGAAACTTGCGTAAAGGTCTTCAACATTCAGCAAATTTGCTCAGTAGATGCAGCATGGTGACAGAAAGCACACAGTCTCACATTGCAGAAAATTATGTTTTGCAAAACCTGGAAACAGTACAACCGTCCCGGTAGGGAGGATCCCCCATCCAGGGCACTTACAGCAGTTCCGAGAGCGAGTCAGCAGTGTGCAGGCCCGAGTTGAAGACAGCGTCTGTCAAGCAGAGGGGAATGTGGCCAGGCTGGTCCAGCCCCAAAGGGGAGCTCACTGAAGATCAGATGTAGGCCCTATGCTTTCCCTACTCCTCCAGAACCTCTCCCTACCTCTCTCTACCCAGACAGGGGATCTGTACCTGCACTAGCCACTGGCAAAAATGTGTGCCAAAACCCAGGTCTTAAATATACTCTCCATGGCCCAAGATGGCCACCAGGGTTACCTGAAGTCAACGTAACCAACCAGATCACTGCTCCAGAGGAGCGAGAAAACCATAGAGAAAAAACATTTTCTCTTGACTTTCAACCACCTGCAGTGGAGACTGTAGACTGCACTTGTCTACACACTTTCGAGTGTGTTGGATCATGGCTTCCTTCTCTCCACTATGTGGTTCCTTCCGCCAGCCTCTACGTCACAACAGGACACTGTATTGACGTAGGGTCCACGGGAGGGAAACATAACGCACAGTCGCTTACCAGACATCTGGCACACCTGGAAGTGTGCTGGATGCTGAAGATCTCTGACAAGCTTCATTCCTCAACCCAGAGAAGTTCTGTGGAATAGGCAGCGGGACAGGTAAGTAATAATTGCTTTCTTTGCAGATAAGACTTGATTTTCAGGTATTAAAAATAGGGACAGAATCACTTTAAGGCTCTTATTCTCTTTTCAGCTGTATGCCAAACTGCAGGCAGTGAAGGGGGAGATCCAAGACCAACATGACGAGTATGTACGGGTGAGGCAAGATCTCGAGCAAGCACAAAATGAGCAGACCCGAGAGTTGAAGTACAAGTGAGTGTATGAACATATTTCTTGTTCTGGGAGAAGGTCCTGAGAACACCAAATTGAATGTTTGGGTTGCCCTCCTATGTTTCATGCAGGTATTTGATCATTGAGAACTTTATTCCTCCGGAGGAGAAGAATAAGATCATGAACCGCCTGTACTACGATGCAGAGGAGGACCAGTGGAAGTTCCAGCCACTTGTGCCACCAGGAAAGTGAGTCTCTCACAGCTTTCTCCAGAAATGGATTTGGAAAAGTAGGCTTTTCATGTGGACTGTGTTATCCAAACAGCTAATGTATGCCATCCAGGTTAGCTAGGTAGTTTTTTGTGTCAGTCAGAGACTGAGTAGTAGCCTGGGATAAGTCAGCCTTTGAGTGAGACAGGAGTTCATCTCAGGACAGGCTAGGGAGGCTCTGAAGGTCGGAGTTTCTGGAGCCCTCTCACCTCTCCAGAAACCTTTCTGGAGGAGGGATGGAGAAGGGGAGGAAGCTCAGATCTGCATACTTCTGCATACTTGAGGGACCTTACCCAATCCCCTGGCAGGAGGCTGGGCATGGTGACCAAGGTAACCCTTAGGTATCACAGAGCCTGGAAAGGAAAGTGTAGGGTGGAAGATGGAGTGAGAGGCTGGAGTGTGGAGCCTGGGAGGGGGCTTAGGGAAGGGGCCTACCTACAGGTGCTGGAGAAGAGGATCTACACTGTGCCACCATCTCCAAGGAAGGACATTCTGAGCAGCAGGGAAGGAGCCAGCCCAGAGAAAGGCCTGAAGACAGCCACCAATCCATTTAGCTATCAGGAAGCACCGTATGAGTACTTTTACACTGGGCCGGATAAGGGGAGAGGGCAGTCAGGTGGAAAGCCCAACTAGCTTCTCATCTGGGACTGCTGTGTAGAATTGGCAGTTTCTGGGCCCTTTGTCCAGGGAATACTCTCAGTGCAGCTGGGTGAAGAGGAGGATTCATCTGGGGTCTGGGGAGGTACACCAGACTGTTGGCATGCTCTTAAATGAGAGACTATATTTTTTTTCTGTGCACATCTGTACATAGCTGCTAAGGAAGTTGTCCTCAAGTTTGCAGTTTCCTTTTTAATCCCATACACCCCTCAACCCCATCCAACTTCTAAACCCCTAAAATCACCAAGCTCAAGGACTGTTTACTGACTCTGAGTGCAACTTGTGGAAGAAAATGCATGTTGCCTGGCTGTGAAGAGCATTAGGGGGACCCAAAACTCAGCGACTTCTAAAGGGGTAGTGCTACACTAAATACACACTTAAAATAGAAAATATATATTATTCTGTGTAGTTAGTCTTGCAAAACGCAGGGCCAGGAAGGTGACAGCTTACTCATATTGTTTGCTCTTCAACAACAAGGATGGGTCAATAACAAGGGGATGATGGCGGTAGGATAGTCTTTCACACTACCATGAAATGCTGAATCTTGCAGAGTTGAAGCACCCCGTGATCCTAGGGTAAATACTAGACCTTTTTTATGTATGCACAGATACACTGTATTGCCAAAAGTATTGGGCCCGCCCTCCAAATCATTGGATTCAGGTGTTCCAATCCCCTCCATGGCCACAAGTGTATAAAATCAAGCCCCTAGGCATGCAGACTGCTTCTATAAACATTTGTGAAAGAATGGGTCGCTCTCAGGAGCTCAGTGACTCCAAGCGTGGTACCGTGATAGGTTGCCACCTGTGAAATAAGTCCATCCGTGACATTTCCTTGTCACTAAATATTCCACACTCAACTGTTAGTGGTATTATAACAAAGTGGCAGCAACTGGGAACAACAGCAACCCAGCCACCAAGAGGTAAGCCATGTAAAATGACAGAGCGGGGTCAGTGCACAGTGTGAAGGGGTGAACCGCACAGTGTGCAGAAGTCGCCAAATGTCTGCAGAGTCAATAGCTAAAGACTTCCAAACCTCATGTGGCCTTTAGATTAGCACAAAAACTGTGCATAGAGAGCTTCATGGAATGGGTTTCCATGGCCAAGTAGCTGCATCCAAGCCTTACATCACCAAGTGTCGGATGCCGTGGTGTAAAGCACGCGCCACTGGACTCTAGAGCAGTGGAGATGTGTTCTCTGGATTGACCAATCACGCTTCTCTGTCTGGCAATCCAATGGACGTGTCTGGGTTTGGTGGTTGCCAGGAGAACGGTACTTGCCTGACTGCATTGTGCCAAGTGTAAAATTTTGTAGAGGGGGGATTATGGTGTGGGTTTTTTTCAGGGGTTGGGCTTGGCCCCCTAGTTCCAGTGAAGGGAACTCTTAAGGTGTCAGCATACCAAGACATTTTGGACAATTTCATGCTCCCAACTTTGTGGGAATAGTTTGGGGATGGCCCCTTCCTGTTCCAACATGACCAGTGCACAAAGCAAGGTCCATAAAGACATGGATGAGCCAGTTTGGGGTGGAGGAACTTGACTGGCCTGCACAGAGTCCTGACCTCAACCCCATAGAACACCTTTGGGATGAATTAGAGCGGAGACTGTGAGCCAGGCCTCCTCCCCCGACATCAGTGCCTGACCTCACAAATGTGCTTCTGGGAGAATGGTCCAACCTTCCCATAGACACCCTCCTAAACCTTGTGGACGGCCTTCTCAGAAGAGTTGAAGCTGTTATAGCTGCAAAGGGCGGGGCCAACTCAATATTGAACCCTACGGACCAAGATTGGGATGCCATTAAAGTTCTTGTGCATGGAAAGGCAGGCGGCCCAATACTTTTGGCAATATAGTGTACCTTTAGTTTCTTGCAGTCAAAGGGAACCTTCAGCCAAAGAATGAGGAGACAGGGCACAAAGCCCTAATAATTCTTCAGAGGATAGGAGTATTGCGTCTCCCAGCAGACAGTTGATCCAAGCCAGCTCCCAGTTTAATTTGCAAAACCAGTGTTTTATTTCTGATGACGTACAATGCACAAAATAAAACAAAAAAATGCAAAATATAATAAAATTTTTAAATACAGTGTTGTGCAGAAGCATTTGTGAATCATGCCATCGACAATTACATGCTTCATTTTCGGCAAGGTTTGCTGAGCGACAAAATGCACAGCAAATTGTATTGATATGAATGTTCCCCAATCTACCCTCTGTAATTAAATCCTGTTATCATTTGGTCTTTGATCTAGCGCCAGTGGCAGTACAATGAAGAGGCGCCCATCTTCAGCTGTAGGATACAAGAGGCCTATAAGTCAGTATGCCAGGGTTGCCATGGTGATGGGCTACCACCCAAGGTACCGGGTGAGTAATTAATATTAATATTGAATTCCAGGGCACCTAAGGGCTTTAATCAACTGAATGAATTAAACTTTTATTGTGTGCTCTGGTCCAGCATACATCCCAACCGTCTCAATTTTCTTGTTTTTGGGACACAAAATGGGAATGACACCTAAAACAAACCTGACCCCTAAATCATTTAGCTTCAGTGATATTGAAGGTACTCAGGGCCATCTTAATAGCATCAAGGTCCCCTGGGCAAAGCAATGCACCGGGGCCCCTACCAGTCTGCCCCAATTTACGCACCTACTCTCAAGAGTTAAAGTATAAATAGTTGAAACATATATTTATTAGAACTTAGCAAAAAATTTGACTTTAAGCAATAAGAAAACATGCCATAAATCAGCGGTCTCCAAACTGTGGCCCGAGGGCCGGATGTGGCCCTTTGCTTGCCTTTATCTGTCCCTTGGGACACTATTCCACCGACTGAAACCAACGATGGAGCACCATTCCCCCTACTGACACCATCAATGGGGCACTGTTCTTTTTGTTGATATTAACAACAGGGAACTATTCCTCCCATTAAAACCAATGATGGGGCACTGTTGCCAGGGCATTTATACTCCCATTGGCCACAGTTCGGGGCCCCCTAAAGCCTGAAGGACAGCAACCTGGCCCTTTGCTTAGAAAGTTTGGAGACCCCTGCCATAAATCAACTAGTTAACACAAAGGGCACAGTACGGGGGGACAGAAGGGCACAGTACAGGGGGAGTCAGTGTGGGGGAGGGCACAATACTGAGCACAATACGAGATCGAGAGGGCACAATACTGGGATCAGGAGGGCACAATACTGAGTTTAGGAGGGAACAATACTGAAATCAGGAGGGCACAGTATGGGGGGACAGAAGGGCACAGTACACGGGAAATCAGGAGGCCACAATACTGAGATCAGGAGGGCACAGTACAGGGGAAGTCAGGAGGCCACAATACTGAGATCAGGAGGGCACAATACTGAGATCAGGAGGGCACAGTACTGGTTCTGGGATGCTGCCCAGGCCATCCCGGGACAGCTTAGTAAAAAGAGTGACTGTCCCGGCAAATCCGGGACAGTTGGCAAGTATGATGTAATGCAAGAATATCATGGGGCCTCTGGGCAGTGCCTAGGGGTGCTCATGCATTAAGACAGCCCTGAAGATACTGCCAACTGTACGTATGGTTAGTTCTGTAGTGAGACTTGCACACCTTCAAAACAGGAGCTGTATTACAAGAAAAAGCAAGCAGGTCTCCTAATCCCAGTATGGTGCCCTCCTGACTCCCCCTGTACTGTGCCCTTTGAACCCCCCAACCCCCCTACTGTGCCCTTTGTGTTGATTAGTCTTTGATTTATGGCATGTTTTCTTATTGTTTAAAATCACTTTTATTGAAAGTACTAATACATATATGTTTATTTCTATCAACTATTTATACTTTCATTCTTGACAATAGGTGTGTAAATTGGGGCAGACTAGTAGGGGCTGTTAAGATGGCCCTGACTTTGCAGTGTCCAGAGAAAAACCTGGTGGCCCAATATTGAAGAGAATCGGGTTGCTTAGAATCCCTGACCATTCTGGGTACTTTTTAATATAATGTCATCTTATCTAAAAGCTCTTTAAAGATCACAACAAAGACTCCAGAGTTGGGTTTCAGACAATGTCCACAATCAGTGGATATTCTCCTAAACTTGGATTTTCCACAGGTCACAAGGTAGCCTCTAAGCTCTGCAGCCTTTGTAGGACAGGGGTTCCCAAACACTGGACAATAAGAAGGAAGGAGGATGCACCAGCCTAGTACAGTACCAGTGATACCAGGTTTCCAAATGTAAAACAGTCAAGTGTACTCACCCCCCTCTCCTTGTGATTGGGGGCAGGATTCCCTATGAGTCCAGCACTATATAAATATGTGGTTAATGGCAGACAGGTAGATCTGAAGAAGTGGGGTTATCAGTGTCTGCTCTGCATTGGTTGTTGTTTGTACCAAGCTAGACTACAACTTGAGGCTATAGTTGGAGTTGCCTTCTGGTTATGTGCCTTACAATCATTTGGCTTTGTGAGTATAATTGTCAGTGTTTTACATTTTAATAAATGGTACCATTGGCAATGTAGGAGGCTGGTGTGCCCTTCTTCCTTTTTGTTGCCTTTTGTATGCCCACTGACTGGGTGGGCACACCCAAATCACACCCACTGCCACTGTATGGGCTGGTCCCATCCCTAAATATGCGGAGACACCCATCATGTCCACTTCACAGGTTGGCCGCACCCAAACCCTTCCATTAAATATGCAGGGACTAATTACTCGCACTCCCGAACCCTGCAACTAATGCTGTTACTGTGCATGTGAATTAACTCAAATAACGTTGATGCTGTGATCCCGGGACATGGCCTTGGACACAGGGCCAGATCTAGTGGGGTGCTGGGGTGGACTGTGCCCCCCCCAGATTTTAGTTGTGCCCCTTCCCCCCCAGGTCTCATCGACTGATCCATGAGCCAGTCTGATTTAACATTTGATGTAAGGAGGCACTCTGATAAGAACAATCCATAAAAGGAGGCACTCTAATATGGACACCAAATGTAAGGGGGCACTCTGATGGGGATAACTGATTATATGTAAGGGGATACTCTTATGGGGACAATTGAGAAAAGGGGGACTCTATTAAGGACACTGATTTAAAGGGGCTCTCTGATGAGGAAACCTGATGTAAACAGGAACTCTGATGGCAACACCTGATGCAAGGGGCACTCTGATGGGGACAAATGATGTAAGGGGGAGTCTTTTAGGGACACTGTTGTAAGGGGGCACTCTGATGGGGACTCTGATGTAAGGGGCACTTTGATATGGACACCTGATGTAAGGGGGCACTCTGATGGAGACACCTGACGTAAGGGGGCACTTTGATGGGGACACCTGATGTAAGGGGGCACTCTGATGGAGACACCTGACGTAAGGGGGCACTCTGATGGGGAAACCTGATGTAAGGGGGCACTCTGATGGGGACACTGATGTAAGTGGGACTCTGTAAAGGGGAACACTTTGATGGGGACACCTGATGTAAGTGGGCACTTTGATGGGGACACCTGATGCAAGTGGGCACTCTGATGAGGACACTGATGTAAGGGGACTCTGTAAAGGGGAACTCTTATAGGGACATCTGATATAAGGAGGTACTGGTTCTGTTTAATATTGTTTCCCAGGTCACGAAACATTGTGACAGACTATAAGTGGCTCACATTATGAAATTATGCCCCCTGACTTTTTTTACTGCACCCCCAGATCAGATAGGCTAGATCCGGCCCTGCCTGGACACAGCATTGGTGGGACAGAGGGCCAGGATTCTGGCAGATAGCAATAGAGAAAGAGCTAGGAGTTAAATAACTGTATTGTGGACTTTGAAAATTAAATTTCTTCATGATGCTTACAGATATAGAGGCCATAACTGGTGTAAAAGTGGTTTTGCTGCTCATTTAGAATATGTCCAGCCACAGCAGCTTTCAGCCTCTTATACAATTTTACGAACTGCTGGAAGCAGAGCTAGATGTTACACCTGTGCCTTCCACCCACACCTAACCACCGGAGCCCAATGTAGCATAGCTAAATGCCCAATGTGCATGGGGCCTTAAGTGTGCTTATTATATTGTTGTAACTATTATTCTGGTTCTATTCCAAGGCGGAAAATATCATGTTCTTGGAGCTGGACCTGACACCTCCGGCTGTGTTTGAAATGGACTTCTCTAGGGATCGGGCTGAGCAGGACCCCCGAGCTCTGCACCTTGAAAGACTGACTCGTCTGGACAGCCTCCTGGAGCGCCCAGCCGCTGCACGTGTCAGAAAATCCAGGTCATGGTAAGCAATCATATGGCTCTCGTAGTGTTAAAAACACTTTTCGATTTTGCAAATAGCAATTAGGCTATTGTAATTAGAAAAAAACAATCAGGCTTTAACAATTAGATGGAAGAAAATAAGTGAAATCTGGAATTTTACATAGTTAGACATCACAGTTCTCCCCATCACATCAGAGGTCCTCCCGTCACATCAGAGGTCCTCCCGTCACATCAGAGGTCCTCCCGTCACATCAGAGGTCCTCCCCGTCACATCAGAGGTCCTCCCGTCACATCAGAGGTCTCCCGTCACATCAGAGGTTCTCCCTGTCACATCAGAGGTCCTCCCCGTCACATCAGAGGTCTCCCCATCACATCAGAGGTCTCCCCGTCACATCAGAGGTCCTCCCCGTCACATCAGAGGTCTTCTCCGTCACATCAGAGGTCCTCCCATCACATCAGAGGTATTCCCGTCACATCACAGGTTCTCCCCGTCACATCAGAGGTCCTCCCCGTCACATCAGAGGTCCTCCCCGTCACATCAGAGGTCTCCCCTTTATATCAGAGGTTCTCCCATCAAATCAGAGGTCCTCCCATCAAATCAGAGGTCCTCCCGTCACATCAGAGGTCCTCCCGTCACATCAGAGGTCCTCCCCGTCACATCAGAGGTCCTCCCGTCACATCAGACGTATTCCCGTCACATCAGAGGTTCTCCCTGTCACATCAGAGGTCCTCCCCGTCACATCAGAGGTCTCCCCATCACATCAGAGGTCTCCCCGTCACATCAGAGGTCCTCCCCGTCACATCAGAGGTCCTCCCCGTCACATCAGAGGTCCTCCCCGTCACATCAGAGGTATTCTCGTCACATCAGAGGTCTCCCGTCACATCAGAGGTCCTCCCCGTCACATCAGAGGGTCTCCCCATCACATCAGAGGTCTCCCTGTCACATCAGAGGTTCTCCCGTCACATCAGAGGTTCTCCCGTCACATCAGAGGTCCTCCCATCACATCAGAGGTCCTTCCATCAAATCAGAGGTCCTCCCATCAAATCAGAGGTCTCCTAGTAAAATAAGAGGTCCTCCCATAAAATCAGTGGTCATCACATCAGAGGTTCTACCATAATTTCAGAGGTCCTCCCATATCATCAAAGAGCTCCCTGTCACATCAGAGGTCCTCCCATCACATTAGAGGTCTCCCCGTCACCACAGAAGTCCTTCCATCACATCAGAGCTCCTTCCTTTACATCAGAGTCCCATTTTTATGTCAGTGGCCCTCATCGTGTAAGAGATGTCCTCATCACATTAGAGTTCCTCTTTCACTTTAAAGGCTCTCCTTTACATCAGAGTTCCCCTATACATCAGAGGCTGCCATACTGTATACATGAGAGCCACTATCATAATGACAAAGTAACCTCATAGTTACATAGTTAGTCTGGCTGAAAAAAGACAAAAGTCCATCCAGTTCAACCATTAAAAAAAATGTATAATCCTCTACCCACAGTTGATCCAGAGGAAGGCAAAAAACCCAGCAAAGCATGATCCAATTTGCTCCTGCTGGGGAAAAAATTCCTTCCTGATCCCCGAGAGGCAATCGGATATTCCCTGGATCAACTTTACCTATAAATGTTATATCCAGTTATATTCTATGTATCCAAGAAACAATCCAGGACTTTTTCCTACAGCAATCCACTGAGCTGGCCAGAACCAACCCTTGAGGGAGTCTATTCCACATTATCACACCTGTGAAGAAGCCTTTCCGTGTTTGGAGATTAATCCTCCAGATTACTAATCTGGTTGTTATAGATTATGGATTTTGCTTACTGTGCCTTCTCTAATTAACTAAACAATGTTAAGGGTAACATATCATGAAAACCAGTTTAGGCTCTTATTATTTTTACAAACCAAAATATATCTGCATCCTCAATTAAATGTTGATTTTGTGAAGTTTTGAGACCACTAGGCTCGCCAATCAACAAGGGTTTTGCTGATTGCAGAGCTATAGGTATGATTCAGCAGGGGACCTCCTCAAAGAGACCAGTGCTTCTACAGAGAGATTAAGTGTGCTTGTCTGCGGCATGTTGGTTTTTCTACCCAGACTTTGGCATTGAACACCTTTAAATTTATTGCACCTTTAATGTATTTAGCCGCAGTAAACTGAAAGTTCACTTGCCCTCCAGAGAATTTACACCCCTTCCTGACTAGGCCATTTTTTCCATTGCTGCACCCAATGGCGTCCTTTTTTTCCCACAAATCCAAGTTT